GCAGTCGGTCGCCACGAACACCCAAGAAGATGTCGGCGGCACGGGGGGCGGAGAAGAAGGAGTCCTCGGTGAGAGGAAGCTGCTTGAATGGGGCAAGCAAGCGTTGCTCGCCCCGGGCGCACAAGATGTCGAAGTCGGCGCCCAGCTCGAGCGCCAACAGAGCCTTCAGTCTCTCGACGGCCTGGGGAGTGGCCAACTCCCGCAGGATGCAACCATGGTGGCTGTCGCGGTCGCGGTCGCCCAAACGGACGACACGGATGTGGGCCGCAAGGGCCGGGCGCTCGACGAGGGTGCGGGCGAGCAGGGGGAGGGAGTCTCTGCGGCCGCAGAAGACGTGGAGACGGGCCATCTGGGCCAGCCCACCGATACGCACATTGACTTGAGTCAGGGCGACCAGAGTACCGAAGTACTCTGGCCCCCGGAAACTGTCGGGCAGCTCGCTGCCACCCGCACAGTCCTCCCCGCAGCAGTGGGGGCAGAACTGCGAGCAGATCTGCCCCAACACGACGTCAGGGAGCCCAAGGATCCCGCTGCGTCGCGACATCTCGTCGACTGGCGCGAAAACGGGCGAGAGCGACGATGCGGGAAAAAAGAGGGCGAGAGCGGCAGCGGAAAAAGAAGATCGCGACGATGGTCGCGACAAGGGGAGCGAGGAGGGCGCGCACACAACGAGGCGGGAAGGGGAGACCAGCGGGAGGAAACGGGGGAGAAGGTGCCGCGAGGGAAGTTGATGCGCGATGGTGGGAGGATTTGGGCCAGAGGTGCTCGCGTGTGATGATTTTATACCCACGATGGAAGCCGCCGGAACTCACAATCAGCCACGAGAGGGGTCTGCCGCATTCACCGGACGGAACAATAACAGTGCTCAATTAATAAATAATCATGAATCTGCAACGTCGTCTCGGCGACGTGCTACGAAAATCGTCCGAATGCGGCGAGTAAACCGGGGTGTCCCGGGGGTCTGACCGGAAGAGCCGGTCAGGGGGAGCGGGCGGCAGACGTTCACTCGGCCCCACCGAAGCCGGGTTGAGCTCCGGTCGGCTCGGGACCCTCAATGCTCTTGCTGTCGCCGCCTGCGCACAAGCTCTACCTATTCCATTGTGAGCCAGGAGATGCAAAGACTGGAATATCAGTCCTCAGCCTGAATGTAGCATTCCGCTCGACACATGGCGGAGCATTTCTACACCAGCAACACGCCAGTCCAACTCTGGTCCACATGCTGTGCACAGAAAATTATCTGAAACGTTCCCTAATGATGGCCCAGCAGCTCAAGGAGTGAACCCCAGATCACATCCAGCACTGTGGTATAGTGAGGGCATGTAAAGTCGCCCGAAACCCGGCGACTCTTGAGCAAGACCTTGTTACGGTCTCTATGTGCATGCCTGCATCAATAAACCGTGACCTCGGGCACCTATTATTTCACCGCCGGTCCTGTGAAGGACAAAGAGAAACAGAAATGATGGATGATTTGGCTGCTTGAATGTATTCGATACCGTACGTAGGAGCTGCAAGATGCATGTCGGAAAAAGAAAACAGGAAAGGTACCGCTGACAAAGAAGCAGCAGGTCGACCAACCAACAAGGAGACTAAGCCATTGCACAATGAATAGCCTCAATCATCATTGTACGGACACCACAAAGCAACTGTGCATCCGCTTATTCTTAGGTATCGTCCAAATGAAACCAGCCTCGTATCCCTTCCAATGATAGTACATATATTTCCATATCCTGCGAAGCCGAAGTGAGACAACCCGTTGCCTGAAAATGAATTTGACGGTTGGTAACAACGTTGTACTTTAGAGCCTGTGTTTTTGAAAGTGGAAAGTTGATGCGGGACTCGCTTGCCCACCAAAAATGTTTGCTCATGGACCCCCTGCCGTCATCACGCCCGGGGCTTTGCGATAAATCAACCTGTGCGGCGGTGGTGATGTGCCGGCGAGGAAAGCGATCGGGCATGTCGCTGGCTCTCTGGCCCGGAAAAGATGTTCTCCCCATCTTCTGGGCAAGGAGTACAATGATGGTAGTCCAGACCCGGTAGCATGGCCCAGTCGTCGAGAGGTTGATCCTCGTCCCGGCGGTAACGTACAGGGCTGTGGGACCTGGGGCGGCGACGGCCACTTTCGTAATCCCAACCGGCGTCATACGCGGAGTTGCCATGACGAGCTCGCTCCCTGGTTGGGCTTTTAGGGCGGTGGTGTTCATTGTACTCGCGCCTCATTATCGTGAAGGCAGCAGCAGCAGCAGCAGCACTGAGAGCGGCCTTGGCAAGGTGCATCTTCTTGTGTTTCTTGCTGTCGTTGAGCTTCAACAGCTGGTCGGCGGCGAGGGCAGTGGCCGTCACCCCAAGAACGAAGTCAATGTCTTCCCCAAAGTTGACATTCTTGGTGAGGTCTTGGAACATGTTTTGGGACGGTTTGGATAGTGGTGGTGTAATATGGGGTAGGGGCGCCAGGTGGTGGTCGCTGGTTTGGTAGTTCATGTTGGGCTCGATTAGATCAGTTAGATCTTGGAGACTTGGAAAAATCGATGTGACGATGTCGACGGCGAGTCCTGACACAGCACTCGCGGTTGTTAAATAGTATTCATCTACTCATCTACTCGAAATGCCCGTCCCCGATACCGTTTCATGGGGTGATACTCCGGGGTCACCCGGCCAAGGGGTCAGGAGACAAACTTACAGGAGACAAACTTACCAGCTCCAATCGAGATTACAGAATACCATGACCGGATGGGGTGACCGGCCCGATTTTCGGATAAACTGTCAGCGGATATGAGCCAACCGGGAGATGGTCCGGTTGAACCCGACAGTCTTACGATTCCGTCGGTACGCAACCCCGCGACCGGGCAGACGGCACCAGCCACTTCTGCCTGCCGTCCGTCATGCGCTCCATGGCCCCGGCGTAGTCGTACCCGGCGTACTTGAGGCTCGCAAGTAGAATGCCAGTCCCCGGGCCGTGGAAGATGCTATCTGTCGGCTTGTCGGTGCAAAACAAGAGAGAAGAAAGCTGGGTGTGAGGGTACGTACAGTCCTGGATGTGGTAATTAGTCCCTGAATTGCTTCAAAACCTCGGGCCAGACTGCCGCTTGAACTTCTTTGTATTTGTCGACGATCTCAGGTTTTAGCTTGATAATTTGGGCGAAGCAGCAGCCGGAAGTGTCAGACTTTAGATTCCTGCAGTTTAGTCCCGCTAGCTATGATGAAGCTAGCGCGTGGAACGAAAGTGCCGTGCTTGGGGGAGAGTTGGCGACCAAGGGAGTGACGGCCATTAGCTGTGAGGGTTGGGAGCCCGGAACGATAATTCCTATCTGCCTATAGCTGGGCCGCAAGCCATCTGAGACCCTCTCCGTACCCCGTCTTCGCAGCGATCGAACACATAAAAAGCTCGATGGGTCGAATTGTAATTTGCCATAGACCAAGCCGATCGCGCAGGAAGTCCTCCGAGACTAGTGGTGGATACCAAGGTTAGCAAATGGAAGCGACAAACCTTACATAGATCGCGAGAATTACAAACCAGCGTCGGGGTGGTCGATTTTGTTGCCTAGTACCGCGAACGGTACCCGCGCGAGTTGCTCCATCGCCGAGAGCTCGTGAAGTGCGGCTGCGGCCTCGTCAAAACGACCAGGGTCCTTGGCATCGACTATGAAGACAACCGCAGTGGTATCGTGTAGGTAGTCTCTCCACAACCGGCGGGCCTCCTGATGGCCGGCAAGGTCCAAAGTGGCGAATACCACTCTGCCAATTGTCCACTCCTCCAATGTTGGATGCAAGGTAGGCGCAACAATGCCCCGTCGTCCCCGTGAGACCATTTGCAGCAGGGTAGACTTCCCGGCGTTGTCAAGCCCAAGGAAGAGGACCTTTGCTCGCTGCAACCGGAGCAGTCCGAAGAAGGCCAAGGGGTAGTAGAACCAGTCGAGGAATCCCATTTTGCAAGAGAGGATCGGAAAGGCGACGGATAACCTAAGGGTCGGCGAGCCGGTGACAGCGGCTGTAATGGTAATGGGGGGGAAAGGGAGTACGAGTATAGGCGAGTTGGGACAGGCTAGGATCGAAACCTACATTTAGTTTGAGAAGTTTTGGGGAGTCAAAGGACCATGTGGCTACGGAATCCTGATCAAAGCTTTTGGTCACCTGACAAATAAATTGGCACATGAATCTGCAGAGCTACTGCATGAATACTTGATGCAAATGCCTCCTCCCATGCATTCTAGGTTTGGGAACTGACGCATAGTTGATGTCACATATTTTGTAATGGCGCCCGACCAACAAATAGCAAACCAATGGTGTTTATTGCAACCTGGCGACTAGACATTTCGGTGCAACATGCGGCTTTGCGGCGTGACGGCGTGACGGCGTGACGGCAGTAAACATCCATGATATCCGCTAGTTAATATAGAACTGGTCTCTTGGGCCTCGTCGCTCTACTCGACTCGAAAGGCTTGTTGTTGGAATTTGCAAGGTAGCGGATTTGGTGTATGTTGGATGTGCAAGCAGGAAGCAAGGCAAAAAGTGGTGATATTGTAGTCTGTAGAAGAAGTGGTGTGTGAAATCGGTCAGGCAAAGTGGGCAACAAATGCCATGAGGCGCTCACATGACCACCTGCAACAGTGTGTCCCAGCTTGTTGACCCGTGTCTCTGTTGGGGCCGGCTTGTTCTATATAGCAAAAGATCTTGGTGTTGCCGGCATCGCCGTGTGATACTCTGAGGTCAGTCACCGTCAGTGAGGTCATCCGGCCAGGGGGTCAGGGGACAAACTTACCAGCTCCATTCGAGATTACAGAATACTCGCTGTGTCCCTGATGGCCGTATGGGGTGATCGGCCCGATCTTCGGATCAACCGTCAGCGGATAACTCTGGCCAACCGGGAGATGATTGTCTTGTCTGTACGTTTCTCGGAGTGGGGTCTGGATCCAAATGCAGGCCCACCAAGAAAATCTCGAAAACCCCTCAATGTTGCCTTATCAGCATCCACACCACTCTTGTTGTTTCAACACACAAGCATGGGTCCATTGGCGTAATGTATTCTGTACTTAAACCCTCCTTCTCCCTTCTCATTCTAAATCAAGAATTCTTCTCAACAGCAGCGCGTCTGACTACGATGAGTACATCAGGAGGTTCCAGGTTCGACCCCTGGATGGATCGTGATACCACGGGACGAGTTTCCGTTTCTTTTTCTTTTCTTTTTTCCTTTTCGTTTTCTTCTTGCCCTTTTCTTTGCTTTCAGCACGATGGAGCTTCTAACGGGTCCGCTGACAGAGCATCTGACCACGATGAATACATCAGGAGGTTCCATGTTTGACCCCTGGATGAATCGTTTTTGGACTGTGGCACACCACAGACCGCCTTTTTTGCGCTTTTTGCGTGTGCCCTTTCTTTCAGTCTTGTATTATTATTCTGCTTGCCCTTTACCATCTTGAGAAAGCTGATTAGCAGCAAAAGAGCGCTCCAATGGAACCGACACTCAGGTTACATTGCAGACACTGGAGACCCCCTTTTTACCCCCTTTTGCCTCCTTTCTTTTTAGTCTAATCATTGTCATATCCCTGACTCCTTTACCGTCTTGCGAGGATCGCAGCAAGCTGTTGGCAAGGACCGATCCATGGTTACCGACGACTCATTGCAGACACCGGATGCGAGGAACAATTTCAGGGGGAAAGCATATATATGTACCAAACCAAGAAAGCAACTAACCAGATACTCACAAGCAAGCCAGGCGACTATGTACAGGCGGCGAAAGCAATGTGCGCAAAGAACCGAAGAAAGCAAGCAGAATCCCAAACACTACCCCGCCGAACCCCCCAATTCCCAACCCAGTCTTCCCAAACTCCCAATCCACCACCCACCCCTCTCCCGGGATTCCGGCATCTTCCCCAAGCCCTTAGAAGCAGTTCTTTTTGACGGTGCTGATGCCGAGCAGCTCAGCCGCCAAGTTGACCAAGGCCTTGCCACCAACCCTCAACTTCTCAGCCTTGGAGGTGGCGCCGAGCATAAGCTTGACGGCCTGCTTGGCGCCGCCGAGCGCCTTGATGTACTTCTTGATGCGGAGCAGCTTGGCCGCGGGGACCGCCGTAGTGCCAATCAGCTGTACGATGGCGGCCACGCACTTGGTGATCTTCCACAGCGAGGCCCGGGCAACAAGCTCGCCACGTTCCACGATGCTGAGGCCTTCCTCCTCGCCATCGAATGCGCCATCCGCCGTACGCGCGGCAATGTTGGCGTCCTCCTCCTCGGCGTCGAACGCGCCGTCCGCGGCACGCTCGAGAATGCTGGAATCCTCCTCGGCGTCGAACGCCGCACGCTCGACAATGCTGGCGTCATCGGCTCCGCCATCAAAGGCGACGTTGTCGGTGTCGCGCTTCAGCTTCTCATTGCCCTCGCGGTTGCCGTGCTCGACGAGCCACTGGTGCAGCGCCTCGTCGCCCTTCTCGAGCACTTCGTCGGGGATCGCGTCGATCTCGGACAAGAGCCGGTCGAGGGCAAAGTCAAAGTCGTCGGTGAAAACAAAGTCGTCGGCATTGGTAGTCTCGTTGACGGCAACGGTGCGGACCTCGATGGAATCCTCGACGGGGGCCTCGATGTCCTCGACTGCGCGGGCCTGAATGTTCTCGACGGCACCGGCCTCGGTATCCTCAAAGGTGGTGCCGTCGTCAACCCAGTCGTCCGTGTCAGGGATCAGGCCGTGGTTGTCCGTTTGCGGAGCGGGGAGCGCGGCAACAGACACCACCAAAAGGGCAGCAGCAGTGGTGATGAGCTGGAATTTCATTTTGAAGGTGGGTTGGTGTGACTTGAATGTGTCTGAAAAGAGTGTCTTGAATGACTGGAGGGCTTGACGAAGCTTGAATTGAGGTGAGCGCTGAGAGTTTGACTGCTGAAGCTGAGAGTGATGATTCAGAAGTACCAGAGACTGTGCACGAGCTGGCCGTCTTTATAGCCCTCGATCCGTCTGAGGTGGCCATCTTCCAGCAGTTGTTGGGATCGTAGCATGAATCACTCCCACTACGCCGTTGTCTGACCGGGTCGTGAATATTTACGCCGGTCATCATGTTCGAGTCTTTCCGTTGACAAGATGCAAAATTAGAACCCTGGCGCGTCGGTCGAGGTATGATGACCCGGATGTACATACCACAATGGGTCGAGCCTCGGTGGCTCTTCCAGGAAGTTGCCAAGGCCGTGAGCAACGTAAAAGGCCACCCACCATAGTTATGTCCCTCCGCAAGTCATCATGGTCAGGTCTCGGCCCACACAGCATTTGTTTGCGGCACAGGTTCATGCCGGCAGAACATCTTCCTATCGAAAGCTCAGATGGTCAAACCATTCAACCAGGGCAAAACAAGGTTCCCAAGTCCCTTGTTTCCGTCATTGTCGGTTCCACCCAATGATACAAGGGGATTCCTCTTCCACATTTGGGAAAACACTGGAAGGGTTGGACAAATGTTGGCCCGTGCCAAGCAGTAAGCGGTTGAGGCGCGATGGCTGTGGGATGTAACCCTGGGGTAAAGATCGCTGGAACTGCCCCTGGCATACCACCCGAAATAGCAGCAGCTGAACCGCCTTACCCCACAAGGCTCACCTGCCAAAGCCTGGTTCTGTCACCTGTCAAAGTTTGCGAGGTCTGCGAGATTCTCGAAAGATGTCCTGCCGCATTGATCTGCCCAGTGCCGCTGAGGCGCATGCCGACGGGGATATCTAATAGCCAATAAGACCAGTTCAGTAAACCGAAAGATGGAAGCATCGTTGATCTTCAGATTGGAGTGAAGCAAGAATAGAAACAACAGCGGGTTGATTACCTCTGCATGTCAAGTAACCTGGATATTAACTCCACGTAGTATCTTCACCCATAGGAGATGCAGGCCGGGACGGTTGAATCCTGATCGTAGGAGAGGGCCTCTTTGTTGAGATATTAGAATCACAATATTACAGATTACCTTAGCGGAGAGGCCCCCCTCCAGACATACTGTCACCGCACTAGCAACAGAC